AGGGTTTTCGGGTTTTAGGGTTTGGGGCTTGGGGTTCAGAGTTCAGGGTTTTGGGGTTTAGGGTTTAAGGTTCAGGGTTTGAGGGTCTTAGGGTTTTCAGAATTTTCTTGTTTTAGCGAAGGTCCGTGCTTGAAGGCAAAGGATATGGATACGTCGTAGCACCACGATTCCTGAACAGCAGCGCGGTATAAGCCCCTAAGCCCTAAACCCCCAACCCTGAGATCACTAGAGCCTAAAGTTTAAGGTTTAGGGTTTAGGGTTTAGGGTTTAAACCCTGACCTATGTTTTCCCTTATTAGGTGGAAGAGGATCATGTTCCGGAATATTTCTCAGAGGGTTTTAAAGGGCCAAATCCTAGCAACCCTATAGACCCTTAACTCTGCTGCTGCTCCCCTAAACCCTAACCCCCAAACCCTAAACCCTAAACCCTAAACCCAGGCGTATCGGCTTTCAGCCTTCGCTGCAAGACATGGTGGGTTTCGCTTTCAGTTTGCACAGTCAATTTTCTGCCAGGCAGGGACCACTTCGCATGATGGTTTCAGCCGCGGCCTTTTTTTCGGGGTTTTGCCTTGTAGCCTCAAGGGCTACTACGCCACCCCAGATTCGAGCCATGACGGATGGCACAGGGGCCGCAGAGAGCCTCATGGAGGCCAGGCGCGTTTACAGCGAGCAGGCCACCTTGGTACAGGGCCCAGCGTACGCCGCCTCACAGCAGTTGTTCTTCGAGCAGCCTAAGCAGCCTCAGCTTGACAATGCAGGCCCTCCGTGGAATTTGTTGGACGACCAAAACCTCCAGGTCGGGACAACCCTTCGCAGTAACCCTGACCGGCATATCAGGAAGAGGGCCTTCGACCTCGTGGTGCCTAGCCTACCTCACACGCCTACACGCCTCTTGGCTCGCAACGGAACGTTTCTGGGGCTCTCCATCCGAACCGGATTTCATGCTGCCCATCCTGCCAAATTGGGCCAACCCATCTCAAGCCGGGTTTGCTTTCCAATCGCCCATGTCCTACACCCAGGCTTTGCCAGCACTGCGCTCTGCGCTGCAGCTCCAGGAAGAAGCCTCGCCAGGCGCCCTCGACGCCCAGGAAGCACTCAACTTCACCCTACACGGCCTCAAAGTGGGGCTCCTTAGCCCAGCCAAGCAACTCAGGCTGCCTGCCGACCCGCGCCGGAAGGCGGGCCACCACAAGGTCAGCTCCGAGTTGTACGGGAGGGACGACACAATCGACAGCCTATGGGTACAGGCCTCGGTGGCCCACAATGTTTCCACAGGCTGGAGGCCCACTCGCCCAATAGCCCGCGGGGGACAAGCCCCCACCATTGAGCCCAGTTTTCGGGTGCCGCCGGGCCCTGTGCCTAAATCGATGACAATCAGTCACATGCTGCCCATCATTCCCAGATTCATGTACTCACGTGAGTTTGAGACCCAGGCCGCCATGGCCCCCCGACACCGGCCTTGCCCTCAACGGGGCTGGCCACCCCAACCGGAGACACCTTTGGCCCAACGGCTCCAACCGCCTCAGGGAGTACTCCGCCGGCAAAGCAGGACACTGGTCTTTTCCAGCCCATGCACTACCAGCAGGAGACGGCCTTTGTAGCCACAGCCCACTCCGCCGGTGTCAACGCAAACAACCCGACAGATATGGCCCTATGGATGAAGGAAACGATTTCCACCAGGGCGCAAGTCCTGGACACCATCCGGCATTACCACACCGCCGTGATCCGTCCTGAACTCTACAATTTGATCAACCAAGTTGAGGCAGCATTGGTCTCGCTGGACGATAGACTACTACGCCAATCCAAGGAGTTAGCCTGGATGGCTTCAGAGAACAGAGCCCTCCAAAAGCAAAGTGCTGCACTCATGGTCATTTTGACCGGCTGGGATACGAGCATGTCGCCTTCCGAACGGCTCTTCATGGTCAATTGGATGCTCGAGCAGATCACCCACGTCCAGGCCTTCTTGCAGCAGAGGGGGTGGGCCAACTTCGACGGCGAGTACAAGTACCTCAATGTCCTCTCGGCAGACCCGTCTACTCCACCGGCAGGGGCACAGAAGTGGAGCTCGGTAACGCTACTCAGCTTCAAATCCTGGGACCTGAGAAAGGCGTTCATGGAGGCATATGGTGGCACTCAGGGTACCCCACTGTACAAGGATGCGCGCACTCCAGTACCCCGCCACCATATCAGGGCTACACCTTCGAGCCCCCAATTCCAACGCAAGTTGGAAATTCCAATCCGAGTACTCCTCCCAGCCCTCAACCTCAAGGAGGAGACCGAGCCCCGCCAGGTGGTGATCTTGTGGAAGACGCTCACGGTGATGTCGCCCCAAATGGCGCGCGGCTTTGATGAGCAAGCCACCGCCTGCGCTCGCCTCCACTACTACGCCGAGGGGGAGCAGTTCAAAGGCATCCTTGAGATCACAAAGGTCATCTCCGACTGGCTTGCAACCACTCCGCCCGATGAGTTGATGACAGAGGAGGACACGATTTGGTCCTACAGCTGGAACAAGATCGTCTTCGGGGTCCAGCAGGAGATGGATGCAGCAGAGCGCGACCACTTCGCCAACGCCAAGGCTGCAGCAAAGGGCACGGGCAAGGGGATGCTTGCTGGAAAGGGGTCCCGTCACTGGACGGCCCCGATGATCTACTCCGCCAGCTCGATGCCGTACCCGATCGACCTCGAGATCAGACTGGTGTCCCAAGTGGCCTACGTTTGGGATGAGTATTGTGATAAGTTTGGCGAAAACAGCCGCAAATGCGGCGACTACCGCCAGGCTACTTTTTCCGGAGCCCCGGTTGCGGCTACTCCGCTTCTCACGGCCCCCACGGCCTGAAGGGTTCCGGCTCGAATTCGCGATCTAGCCAGGGAGGTACGTACCTCTTTGTATCTCCAGGCTACTGCGCCGCTCCCCCACAATTTCAAGGTACTCCTCGAAGGCAACTTCACATTTGAAACTTTCTTAAAGGAATTGCTTCGAGATGTTTTAAGTCAGGGGTTGAGCAGGCCTTCCACCCACAACCACCCCGCCCCCCATATGATAAGACTTTACCCTTTCAGAGTTTCCAGGTTTTTGGGTGCCCCGGGTGTTGCACGATCGCGGTCGCACGCTGAGTTTGTAGAGGTCGCCAAACAAACACTCACAGCTAAAGACCTGCAGTGGGATATGAGGGTTGTTCGTAGAAGCCGAAAGAGACCCAATAAACTCCCAACTAATCCTCACCTTCAAGCTTCATGCACCTACATTATCATCGCCTTCTTATGCGTCTTTTACTACACCTCAACCACTAGATCCTCTTTCCCCATTGTCCTTATGGATTCTCTGGTAGTTCATTCTACAATATGTTCACTTATCAAGTATGGGATAAGCCAGTGGGAGCTTCTGCAACAGCTACTCCGCAACAAATTACAACACATCAAAAACGGGAACACAACAACATTACAGCTAGATCTTCTAATTCCCCACAAGTACACTGAGTACCCTCAACCCACTATGGAGTACAGCTTCATTCATCAAGCCAAACTTAGCCGTGATTTTCTCCTTTCCCAACGACCCATTAGCCCCCCAAAGCTTCCCGAAAATTCCCCTTTCCCTCAACTCACCCCCAGACCCAAAATAAGAACGGGTAGGCGAGTATCTTTTCGTTTCACAGATGGTCGTAAGGTAAACTACACCCGAAGACCACTCCGCCATTTTTCGGCCAGCCGGCCCTTCCGCCCACCAACGAATTCACAGAAGGATAGGCCAACACCGCCTCCACGAGGCACGCCGGGACCCGGGCAACCGGGAGACGAAGAGTGTATCACCCCTCCCCCCCCTTCTTCAGTCCACCCTCTAGGTTTGGGTGCCCGCTCTAGACGCCTTCGACGGCAGCTTTTCCGCCGTTGGCGCAGGAGCGTGGGTGGGCCTATATTACCAGAAGCGTCGGGCAGCGCACTGGTAAAAGGGGGGGTGCCCTTGAAAGCAGTCCAAAGGTAGGCGCCAAACCGGGGTACGAAATTCGTACCTTTTCAAAACCCTCATACTAAGGCCTGAACAAATCGGCAAGCAAAAAAAGGCTACTCCGCCAGCAGTAGCCCCACCACCCTTGCCGTATGGACAACCTTTTAAAATAGGTACACAAAACGTACAGGGAATGGCCGAAATACTAAAACACCAGTCAGTCCTCACTTTACTCCGTAGTAGAAAGCTTGACGTCCTTTTCCTCACCGAAACACGCAACACAACATACCACCAATTCACCTCAGAGGGGCACAGGTTCATTAGCAATGGCAGTAACAAGGACAAGTTCGCAGGAGTGACAGCAATCATTCCCCCCCAAACTCTACCACACCTCAAAGATGTAGTTCAGCATAGTGCGAGGATCCTTCAAATCACACTAGCAGCATCGGCCGGAGATGTTCACCTCATAGGAGTCTACTCCCCACACAATAAACGAGATGTTGAAACTAGCAAGCTCCCCTTCTGGGATAAGCTAGACTCAGTATTGCACAAAATTCCTCAACCAGAGCCGGTTTATATCATAGGGGACTTCAATGTGAGACTACAAGGTAGAAAACCAGATGAACATCACATGTTGGGCCCCAATGTATATGGTAAGGGAAGACTCAGTATACCAACCACAGAAGGTAACAACAGAGAGCTCTATCTGAGATTCCTGAGTACCTCTGAAGCTAAGGATGTTCTAACCTACAAGCAGAGTAACCTTCTGAAGCACATCACATACCGAGATAAATCCCCTCCCCCATTAGATTGGCTCACGTTCTCTAGTGACCCCATAGGATGGCTACCAATCTGGGATAGATTTCAAAGCTTGCCCCAGTCAGAAAATGAGAACCTAAAGGTCGCAGGGAAAGTCAGGGATTGCCTCACTTGCTACTCCGCCTTAGTGCCCGAACAACAACGACCAACCATCGACCCGCACAGATTCCAGGCACTGGACCGTTTGGTCACCAGATCCAAATGGTTACCTACGGTTCAACAATGCCAAGCAGTTCATAGCACAGGATTTGTTAGTGACCATTATCTTCTAGAATCAGTCATTCGGGTTAAACTCAAAGCCCAACCACCCTCCACAATCAAACCTCCTGCAAGAGATTACTCCGCCATAGACTACTCCGCTAAAACCCTGTTCAATCACACGTTTAAAAAATGTACCAAACACAAATCAATACCCAATCTCAACACAACTGACGCCAATTGGGCGGTATACACGGATGGGTCGGGAAGCAAAGGCCGCTGCTCAGCCACTACTCCCGCAGGCTGGGGCTACACAATCATAACAACCAATCAAGATTCAATTGCCTCAAAAGGTCCAGTCAGCACTGATCCACATGCAGCAGTTCACTTAGGAGCGACCGTAGGCAGTAATAATACAGGAGAGCTAAGCGCCTGGATGGAAGCGGCATTGTACATACTAACATTGACCACTCCGCCTAAACAAATTTCCTTCTACTACGACAGTCGTTGGATGTCAGACGCTGTCAGGGGTAAATCTAAGGCTAAAAGACACAAAACCATGATTAAATATGCACGTATCTTATTGGCAGAGTTGCAAAATCGCACCACAGTAGATTGGTTTTGGGTCAAAGGCCATTCAGGAGACCACTTTAATGAAATAGCGGACAGGTTAGCAGAAGAAGGAAAACAAATACCTGATCCAGTGGGAGGTAGGCACGACATCACCCCTCTTCTCACCCCCTCGGAGTTCATTGAACCAGTACAATCTACTGACCACTCCGCGTTGGAACGCCTCAATTCCACATTAGTACGAGCTCTGCACAAAGCTGAGTCGCAACACATACCACTACTGAAACGCAAGCCCAAGCAGCCCTGGATGACGCAGGAGCTACTACAACAGTTCCATGAAGTTAGGCACCTAAAATCCATTGACCACTCCGCCCATATCCAAAAACACAACTCCTTAAAAAACAGGCCCGTAAAATAAAAAGGGATTGGACACGCGAGCAGTTGCTTACTGACCCCAACCCGTCACACACCAAAATCTGGAAACAAGTCCAGAGCTTCAAAAAAGGTTTTAGAGCTAGGAGAACCAGACTAAAAGTTTCAGGCACACCAGTCCCATGGACGAACACCCACAAAATCTTTAGAGATCACCTCCAGAACAACCAGTGGTCCCCACCGGACGTCACCGAGGAGGAAATCGAACTACTCCGCTCTTCCCCCCCGCTTTACAAGACCGACGAACTTGACCCCCTTCCCTTTCAACATGAAGAACTCTACGCTGCCATCCAGGGTATAAGAAAAGGCAGGGCCCCAGGACTAGACGGGGTAAAGGGAGAAATAATATTACTCCTCGACCACTACGGTGAAACCCAGCTACTCCGCCTTATGAACGCTTGCCTCAGAGCCAGGAAGGTCCCCTCTTCATGGAAAGAAGCGCTCGTGGTAAGCATCTACAAGGGAAAGGGATCAGACTCAGACCCCTCCAATTACAGGCCGATCTCCCTTCTTAACACGTTTTACAAAATCTACTCCGCCATGCTGCAAAAAAGACTAGCCACTAAACACGACGCACAGCTACGCTCCACCCAGTATGGCTTCCGTGCAAAAAGAAGTACAAAACAGCCATTGTTTATCCTGCGCAGGCTCCAAGATTACTCCGCCAAAACAGGTCAGCCTTTCCAACTTCTCTTTTTAGATTGGAAGCAAGCGTTCGACAAAGTTAGCCACCCCGCCATGATGGTCGCCCTTAAAAGATTAGGAGTGCACCCCACTTACATTGAAATCATAACAGACCTCTACACCGACCCCCAATTTTGCACTCAAGGATTCTCTCAAGAGAAAAGTTGGGGCACGCCTAAAAGTGGCATACGACAGGGCTGTCCACTCAGCCCTTACTTGTTCATCATGATCATGACAGTATTGTTCCACGACATCGACGCTCGGCTTAGGAGCGAGGGTACACCGCAAAACACTTGGTCAGTAGGCAAGCCCATTTATGATCTAGAATACGCAGATGATACCCTTCTAATGGCAGTCACGGCACCACAGCTCGAATCATTTTTGGCATGCGTACAGGTAGAAGCATCTTTATATGGATTACAACTCAATTACACGAAAACCGAACTACTCCGCCACCCCAGCGCACAGGCAGACATCAGCTTTGCCGATGGCACTCCAGTGCCTGTAAGCGATCAGGTTAAATATTTGGGCTCTAGGATCAGCTGGACTACTCCGCCAAAAATCGCCATTCAGCATAGAATGGAACTAGCTCACTCCTCATTCATGAAGCTCCAACACATATGGCAAAGTAAACTACCCATTAAAGTAAAAACCCACATCTTCCATAGCTGCATTGTTCCTGTCCTGCTATACTCCCTGGATGTCCTCACACTAGAAACCCACTCCTTCAAAAAAATCGACGCCTGGTACCATAGGTATCTTAGACGCTCCATTAAAATCAAATCCTCGTACTACTCACACATATCTAACCAGAAGGTTTGGAAAATTGCAGGCAAGCCATGTTTGCCCTCCCAAACACTGCTGGCGCAACAATTTGGATTACTCCAGAGCTCTATATTAGCAAGCCCCCAGGACCCCATTCACCATGTAGTGTTCTCTCCCGGATACAAGGACCGAATCAGATTTACTAAGGCCCGCACAAGAGGACACCCCTGTAGATACTGGTTTGAATTAGTTTCCACGGAAAAAGTAAGGTTTTATAACCACCACTCCGCCGCAGACCCAGAAGCCCGAAGGGACTTCCTGGGCCTAAAACATTTAATATCCAAAGACACACGGTTTGGCGACCTCTTACGCACTGCGCCAACGCGCGCGCCGAGTATTTTCCCTATGTACAGCAAGCATGTTGGAAGCGCATGGCAGCCCTAAAAAAAAACCCTAAACCCTAAACCCTCCTAAACCCTCCTAAACCCTCCTAAACCCTAAACCCTAAACCCTAAACCCTAACCCCTAACCCCTAAACCCTAAGCCCTAAACCCTGAACCCTAAACCCTAAACCGCACTTTCCCGGGGCGCCCGAGGAGCCAACCTGGCCCAGGGCGCAGGCGAGAGGCCTGCAGATCACCTGAAGCCGCCGGTTTTGGCGAAGTTTCAAGGGGCTACGGGGTCGCAGGAAGGATAAGGGTTTAGGGTTTAGGGTTTAGGGTTTAGGGTTTAGGGTTTAGGGTTTAGGGTTTAGGGTTTAGGGGTTTAGGGTTTAGGGGTTTAGGGTTCTGGGAATTCAGGGAAGAATCCGAAGCTTTCGCCGGAAAGCTGGAGTCTTCCTAGAAGGCGCGCCCCCCCCTCGTGAGACTTGTGCCGCGACCTGTCGGTCACGAGACAAATCTCCGGCCCATGTAGTCACTAGGCTTTTGTAGCTCGAAGCCAACGCATGTCGGAGGCAATCCAATTTCAAGAGCATGGCTCAACCGTAAGCGTTAGTCCCCGAGAAAAGGAGCCGCTCGAGGGTTCTTTGGGGACTTATGCGTAGAGTCAAAAGTAGGGTAACGGTGGTAATAACCCTTATTTTGGGGTGCTTAGAACCCTACTTGCAAATCAATCAACCTTCAAGTAACCCTAACCCCTGAACCCTAAGCCCAAAACCCTAAACCCGATGAGTTGGGTACAGGGTTTGGGGCCCTTGTGGTCCTCGGGGGCACCAGCAACCGAGCTACAAGACCCGGAACGGACCCAGGGTTCAAGGGTCTGGAGTTTAGGGTTTAAGGTTCAGGGTTTAGGGTTCAGGGTTCAGGGTTTAGGGTCTAGGGTTTACCTTGGGACATTTCATTTTCTCCCTTCTGGGGTTGAAGAGGATCTTGCTTCGGAGCATATCTCCGAGGGTCTACGTAGTGCCAACGTATTTTCGCAGACTCGCCATATGAGGCAGGGGAAGATCCTCTACACTCTCCACCCTAGACCTTGAACCCTAAGCCCAAAACCCTTAAACAAAACCGTAAACCCTAAAAACCGAAACCCGAGACCCCAAACCCGAAGCCCCAACCCCCTAGCCCCTCCTGAGCCGTGAGCCCTTGCAATCTGATGAGCGCCTCTCCCGCGCTGACAAGATGACTTCGGGTGAGGAGGACAGTTTAATTGTTAGGGTTCTGGTTTTGGGCCTAGACTGTAAACCCTCTCAAGTGCTCCGCTCCGTCGACTCCCCCAACCCCCGCGCCCCCCCCCCCCCTCCACCCACAACCCGTAAACCCTACCGAAAGGAAAGTTTAGTTTTTAGGGTTTAGGGTTTAGGGTTTAGGCTTTAGGCTTTAGGCTTCAGGCTTTAGGGGTTGAGGGTTTAGGGATTCGGCCACGCCTCCCAATCTTCCTCAGAACTGCTCAGAGCCAGGGCCTTCGGCTTTAGGGTTTAGGGTAGTTGCTTAAGAAGCCCCCCAAAAACAGGAACTAATAATCCTCCATTTTTTTTTTTTGGGGGGGGGGGGGGGTGGTTCTTAAGCAATTCGTAGATGAAAGTTCGAAGCAAGAGAAAAAACCATGAAAGTTACTCCAAGGTGGGCACCCAGCCGATGTGAAGCTGACCACAAGAACCCTGCGCCCCAAGGACCTTAACCGAAGCAAGCCTGCTTCTTCATCTGTACTTGTAAGGAAGACTATAGTGACTATAATGACGATAATGACTATAATGACTATAATGACTATAATGACTATAAGCACCCGAACTTAGTTTAGAACCATACTTTCCCTACTTCTCAGCACCTGAATGAACCCCCAAGTAGTACGGACACGTCCTCTAGTGAATGGCATGGTCTCTTTTATTTGCTAGGGCAGTGGAAGCTTCTGAACGGCAACCAAGCAAGCCCCCCAGTTAATGGCCCAACATACAGGTCGGCCTCTCATATGTTGCACGGGAGGCTGGTCTTAAACCCTACACTAGGGGTTGAGGCCTTGCAACAGGGCTTGTAGAGCTTTTGAGGCTTGCAGCGTCAAGGGCTTGTAGGGTTAGTGTTTAGGGTTCAATTGTGGCCTTTAGGGTTTGTATGCGGTCGCATCGTGGCTACTCAGCAAAGGTAAAAGCAGTGAACCCCAAACGCCCAAAACCCCAAACCCCAAACCCCAAACCCCAAACCCCAAACCCCAAACCCCAAACCCCAACCCTGAAACCTAACCCTAAACCCTAAACCCTAAAACCCTAAACCCTGATCCCCAAACCTTCACACGAGCCATCCGCAAGGAAGTCGAGGAGGTCCTGACCTTGCGACCTCTCTTCGCACCTCACCTGAAGGTTCGTGGGTACTTATATAGGTAGGGTTATACAAGTACCTTAAGTAAAATTTCACATATAGCTACTCGACTTCTATAAGTAGGGTTATATAGGTACCTTAAGTAAGGTTATATACAGCTAGAGCTACTCTACTTCTAACCCTACTTATAAGTACCCCCAATGAAGCTCCCAAGTACCGCCTTACCTGCCTTTTGGGGGTTGTGCACGGACGCCTCGCAGCTCTGAGGGACAAGGATGGAGCGGCAAAAGCCGCCGACTCGCGAGTCCTAAACCCCTAAACCCCTAAACCCCTAAACCCCTAAACCCCTAAACCCCTAAACCCCTAAACCCCTAAACCCCTAAACCCCTAAACCCCTAAACACCTAAACCCCTAAACCCCTAAACCCCTAAACCCCTAAACCCCTAAACCCCTAAACCCCTAAACCCCTAAACCCCTAAACCCCTAAACCCCTAAACCCTAAACCCCTAAACCCGTAAACCCCTAAACCCTAAACCCAAAAACCCTAAACCCTAAACTGCAGAAGGTGGACGTTCGCAGCCCCCAAGTTGTTCTTGTGAAGTCTGGTTTGGGGTTTAGGGCTTTAGGGTTTTCGGATTAAGGGTTCAGGGAATCCTAACTTTTAGCCGAGGAGGAGACCCTGGTGGATCCTACAGCCCATGAGCTGATATTCGATTTTGGGCAAGGCATGCTGGCTGCAGAACGCCGCGGAGCGGGGGGAGGGGGGGGGGGTCGGAAAATCGGGTTGCCCTTTTCTGTGGGGTTCTGAAAGAAAGGATTGCGCAGGGGTATATAGGTACCCTTTCGGGAAATGCCCATGTGGGTTTCGGGCTGTTCGTGACGAAACGTCACCACCCTTCACTATTCATGTCTTAGTGGGCTCTTGCGTCCCGAACGCCTAACCCCTCAACCCTCCAACCCTAAATCCCTCAAGCCTACAACCCTAACTCCAGCCCAAAGCCCTCAACCCTAAATCCCTCACGAAACTCCAGCCGTTTACGAGCCGCTCTTGTTTCACACCCTAAACCCTAAACCCTAAACCCTAAACCCTAAACCCTAAGCCCTAAGCCCTAAGCCCTAAACCCTACACCCTAAACCCTAAAGACCTAAACTCTACATCCCAAGAGGTCTTCGATTCTGCCTTCGGCAGAGGCCCGAGAGCTTCGCCTGCCAACACAGCGGGCCGACCCTTGGCAGATGTGTTTTAGGGTTGAGGGTTTAGGGTTTAGTTTGTTTTTTAGAGTTTAGGGTTCAGGGTTTGGGGTTTATTGTTTGTTTTTGTTTTTTATTTAAAAATGGGGTTTAGGTTTTAGGGTTTAGGTTTTAGGTTTTGGGGTTCAGGGTTTGGGGTTGAGGGTTTAGGGTTTAGGGTTCTGGCTCGGGGATTCAGTGGGCTAAAGGTTGAAAGCCGTACGGCTTCGGGGCTTCGAATGTTTGCTTTAAGGGGCCAGAAGCCCAGCAAGGAACCACCCGGAGAGCTCAACACCTGGGGATGTTGCCCCGTTATACTCACAGTCCTTCATAGGGATTGTAGTGTAGTACCCTAGTAGAACACCTATGAGGGACCTGTTAGTATAAGGGGAACATGTTCATTAACCTTTTTTTTTGATTGAGGAATCTACCATGGACCTTCTTGGGCAGTAGGGGTTCATAAGGGGATCCTACTATGTAAGGGTCTCTTTTGGGAGTCCCCCTATTTTCGCAAACACCCCCCTCATTTTGGATCCCTAAGTTGACAAATGGTCCTTGACACCTTTCTTGGGTAGTGAGATGGAGGGGTCACGTTTTTCAGCCGGGCCTTCAACCCGCCAGAAGGCTGTTTTTTGTGTTTTGGGTTCGGGGTTTAGGCTCTAGGGTTGAGGGTTTAGGTAAGACGCTCCCTTTCTCAGTAGAGACGAAGCTCTGTAGGGCTTCGGACTCTTGAGCTGAGGGGTTTGGGGTGTTAGGGAAGGTTTGGGCTTTCGGCTTTAGAGTTTCTAGGTTTCTTACGTTTTTGGGCACTGGGTGCTTAGGAGTTCGGGCTTGCTAGTCCTTCCCGAGGTCTCTTGCGCAAGCCCCGACAGAACGAAGTCGGCGCACTGGCTGCATGGTTCCTTGGCAGCCCAGTGATGTTAGAGTTAGGGTTTAGGGTTCAGGGTTTATGGTAGTGCTAGCCTTTTGCCCATTTGTTTGGTTCGGGGTTCCTTTATAGAGTAACCAGACCCCTCAACAGGGTACCCTTATTAGAATAGGGTTGCTGGGCTACGGTACCCTGGAGCATGTAGGGCTTCAGGGTTTTCGGCAGAGTATGTCTGGGCTTAGGGTTCACGAAGGCTTTCGGTTTTCGGAGGTTAGGGCATTTTAGGGCTTACGGTTTTACTTAGGGTTCGAGGTTTTTAGGTTGTAGGGTTCAGGGTTTAGGTTTGGGGGTTGCCGTCATGCGGTAGCCCAATTGTTAAAGCTCGTGTAACAGCACCGTGCAACTCGCAAAGCAACAGCCTGGTAAGCTGGAGCGTTTCGCCGCCGTCAAAACCATGTAAAGCCCTATAAGCCCCATACTATGCGCCAGATAAGCCAAGTAAGCCAGAAGCCTCAAGCGCCCAAGGCTCACTGGAGTCCCCACAGACCCGAAAACCCCAAAACCCCACAAACGCTAAACCCTGCAAACCCTCATAGCCTTTCTTTGAGGTGCATTAGTATCCCAGCTGTGCAACCCAACAGCCGGCAAGACAAAGATGATCACGTTCAGTTGCGTTCCGTTCCGACGTTACGTTCCGTTCCGTTCCGGCCTCAGGGGTGGCAAATGACCCCCCCGCCTCTAGAGATAGAACCCAACCCTTCAAACGTTGGGAACAGACATATTCAAGAGACATATATATATATATGGAATTAAAGAATTACATATATATATATATATATATCCTCCAAGTAGAGACCCCCAAAAAGATCCTAAACCCCAAGCCCCAAACCCCAAGTCATGAGCCCCAAGCCCAAATCCCAAGCCCTAAACCCTAAACCCTAAACCCTAAACCCGAAAAGCCAATCCCGAAACCCGAGACCCAAAAACACCTCCCCAAAACACCGAACCCTAAAAGCATCCCAAAAGCCGTAGTGGAGAGGTCTGGGACGGGGCCGTCGTCCTTGCTGGCATGCTGGCGGCCGCTGCAGACGCGGGATCCACTGCAGGTGCCAGCAACCAAACGTTTAGGGTTTAGGGTTTAGGGTTTAGGGTGGAGGGTAAGAGTGATGGCTATTTTGGGGGGTTTAACATGAGTGGGGGGGGCGGGGGACGAGAGTGAAGACGCGAACGCCGAAACCCCCAAACCCCAAACCCCAAACCCCAAACCCCAAACCCCAAGCCCCAAGCCCCAAGCCCCAAGCCCCAAGCCCCAAGCCCCAAGCCCAAAACCCCAACCCCCAAAATCCTGAACCCTGAAACCCCTAAGATTCGTTTCGCAAGCCCTGAACCCCTATCCCCCCGAAACCCCGAAACCCGAAACCCTAACCTCTAAACTCCTCAACCCTAAACCCTAAACCCTGAACCCCTCAACCCAAACCCCCCCTCCGTCCTAAACCCTAAACCCTAAACCCTAAACCCGAAGCCCGAAACCCTAAACTGCTCTGCCAGAGGTCGGGAAGCCTCGCACTGGAGATCCGCCGCCGCGCAGGGCATTCTAGAGCTCCCCTGGCTGCACCAGCTCGTTCGAGTTTAGGGTTTAGGGTTTTAGGGTTTAGGGTTTAGGGTTCAGGGTTCAGGGTTTAGGGTTTAGGGTTTAGGGTTTAGGGCTTGGGGCTTAGGGCTTTGGGTTTAGGGGTTTAGGGTTTAGGGTTTAGGGTTTAAGGTTTGGGGTGGTTGGCCAAATGGTTTGGGTTGCAGGGGTTTGGGGTCTAGAGGTGTCGGCTTTTTTCGGGGTTGTGCTGGTTTAGGGTTCCGGTGCGTAGGGTGTGTAGGGAGTTGGGTTTGGTTGTCCAGGGGGCTCTCAGGGTTTGGGTATTCAGGGGTCAGGTCAGGGGTTTGAGGGTTTAGCCGTGTAGGTTTAGGGTTTAGGGAGTGTAGGGCTTTGGGCGTTGAGGTTTCTGGGCTTTGGGGATTGGGGTGGAGGGTACAGGGTGGGGCCTCGTAAAAGGCCTCCCTGTAAGGGTCTGGCTTGGCCCCTAAGAAACCCTAAAACCCTAAAGCCCTAAAGCCTAAACCCTAAACCCTAAACCCTAAACCCTAAACCCTAAACCCTAAACCCTAAACCCTAAACCCTAAACCCTAAACCCTAAACCCTAAACCCTAAACCCTAAACCCTAAACCCTAAACCCTAGACCCAAACCCTAACCCCTAGCCCCTAAACCCCAAACCCCAAACCCTAAACCCTACATACCGAGGCTGGGCGCCGGAGAAGGCGGACTGCCCGGGCTGGTGGCCTCGCGCGCCTTCGCCTCCCAGGCGCCTCCGAGATTTTCGGAGGGCCTGGTACCCTTTCAATAGGGTTTAGGGTTTAGGGTTCAGGGTTTAGGGTTTAGGGTTTAGGGTTTAGGGCTGTTTAGGGTTTAATGTTGACTTCGCATTAATAAACCCCCCCCCCCCTTCATTGATCAATCTCTCCGGCCAGGGCCTCCTCAATAATGTTCGCCTAAATCCTGGTAGGACGTACTATTAGTTTTAGTATTAGGTAGTAGCACCACGCCCGTAAAAACCGGATTTCCCGGGTCGGATTTTACAATTGTGGCGGGTTACAATATTGTGTTCCGGCAGCGGGATTTTACAATTGCGGCGGGAATCACTAATGTGAAGTCAACATTAGGGCTGTTTAGGGTTTAGGGATGCTTCTGG